TATTGATAAAATTTGCAAGAGAGCAGGTACATTGTAGTTGGTGATATATTAGTTGTCTTTTTACATGAATTGACTGCTATGCCCATCTACTCAGCCATTTTGAAAATAAAGTAACAAATGTGTGCTCTTGTGTTTATCTTCGTCTACTGGCAAGTCCTTCAACTATTTTTCTAATGGGCGAGAAGAAAACATTCTTTGGCCTGTATAAAGAAGTTAAATCAATAAAGAGAAAGTCATTTCTGACCAAAAATGTTTTTAAAAAAATCTTATTCATCAAAAAGCACAAGTTTAATCTAGGAGATGAAAGAGAAAGAGAGATTTCACATCACCAATAGACTCAGAAGAAAAGCATGTGTAATATATTTCTTTAAGACATTGTTGAAGGTTGTCCAGTTCATTTTCACAGTGCTTTATGACCCTTTGCTTGATAACAAAAGCAGAAAATGGTCTACCCCCTATCATGCAAGCCCGTAGTGTAGTATGTTTATTAACAACTTCCACCAAAATGGCTGGGTTCAGGGTGTATGTTCAAACAATCAGACACTCACTGTAATCTCTTTTGTCTTTGTAGGTGGATGTGAAAAAGGCCACACCCAAACAGAATGATAGCTATGGCGGTGGTGGCCGTGGGGGTGGATTTGGTGGCAGAGGAGGTGGAAGAGGCCGTGGACGAGGTGAGTTGTTGACAAGAATTCCTTTCATTGGTATGGGTGCAGAAATTTTTTTGTGGGGAACTAGTTTTGGAAAATGACTGATGTTATGGTCGCTATTTTAGTTACAGGATAATGCAGTATTGACATAATGTTAATTATAAACAAGGTGAAGTTTATATTTGGAAAAAATATGGAAGAGAATTTATCTTTTTATTCTCATCTTCAGGTATTTAGATAACATCTCATAAAGCCATCCATTTTGTTGAAACTCTGTGACATGTTATTTGTTGTGATATATTTCCAGGCTATGGAGGTGGCCCAGGGGGCTGGAACCAAGGGTGGAACAACCAAGGCTATGGTGGATATGGAGGCTATGGCGGATATGATCAGGGAGGCTATGGTGGATATGGAAACTATGGAGGATATGATCAAAGTGGATATGGTGGTGGATATGGCTCCTGGAGTGGATATGACCAGGGCGGATATGGAGGCGGCTATGGTGGAGGTTATGGTGGCGGATATGGAGGTGGATATGGACAAGGTAGGTAGTGTGCTGTAACTGCTTACAGTTTAATCAAGATAACGTTGGATATGTGTGTAATTCTAAATTCATTTGGAATTTCTGGGGTTTCCAGAAATTATACAGATTACATTATTTATTACACTTCTTTGTTATATTGGATGAAATGGAAGTGAGACACTGGTGAATGTGACAAAGCCTTCCTGTATGTTGAAGGCTACTTGCCTGTTTACACAAAGACTTTATGCATAAGAACTGAAGGCTTTCATGTCTTAAAGGGGCTCTGTCATTTTCTTAAATGAAAATACATATTGGCTGGGTTTCATTGCCAAATTGTCATTGTTTAGACTTAAAACTGACAGAGGAAAAGAAAAAGGAGTTGGTTTAATGAGAGACAAAATTAACACCACTGCTTCTTTTGCTTTTGTTGAACCTGGCTAATGTTATGTATAAAGCAAAATTATTTATAGAAGTGTTGTTGGGGAGTTGACTCTAATTTTAAGTCAGTTATTTCATTTTCATATTTTGAGCAATAAGGACTTTGCTGTCTCTGCAAAACATTTTTATTTGCATATTGCTTTGACAACTTTTATAGAAGTTTGAAAACTGAAGTTTGAAAAGAGTATATACTGTCCTGTAGTATAAGAAATGCTGTAAGTCTGAACTCTTCTACGCTGTTGCATTTGACTATACTTAAGTTGATGAATACTTTGATTTTGGAGTAATTTTTGAATTTTACTTGTATGAGCTATATTTATAATATCATTAAAATATTCATAGTAGTGATTTTTTATGTGAAAAATAGTAGGTCTGAATGTGGACTGTATCATCTCATAGGTTTATAAACTCTGTTATCTAAATGTGAACTCCCAAGATGGACAGTCACATACAACATCCATAAAACCTCCACTTTAATCACCTCTCTGAATAAGCCCAAATCCACCTGTTCTTAATCAGTAGCCTTTTCAGTAATAATAAAATAAATTATAATGTAAGTAGAATTTTAAATATATATTTAAGTTGAAGGTTGGTCTCAACTTGTTTCAAAATGTTTTTTTATGAAAGTTAAGACCAACTTTCCACTTGAGTTTTTAAGTGAAATAGGGCTAAAATGTCAAGTAGAAATCAAGGTTTTCGTAACCCTCCTCAATTTCTGAATGAGTTGGTAACTATTAAGTGGGTGAATAACAAAGTTGTATATCATTGTTGGACCAGCAGATTATCTTAAAGGAGAGAGAGCACAAAGATGAGAACAAGAGGATTTGGATTTCTTCAAATTATTTGACCAGATACACAAGACACAAACAACACTATACACTGTTTTCAGGCAGCATTGTGATTGTAAGATATCTTTGAAAAGGGCACATGAAGCACAATATAGTGTCAATATATTAAGTGTTTAGTGCTCTGCTTGGTGAAGTAACATGGGGTCTTGTTTGTTTTTCCAAGGTTACGATTACAGTGGATGGGGCTATGGACAGGATCAAGGTGAGTCTATCATATGACCCTTGACCTAAGTCACATGACTTTAACCAAGACAGCCCCAGGGTTTGGAATTGAATTGTTGAACAAAGTGATATATTTGTGTTTCAATTTACCTATTCAAAGAATGACTTTAGGGAAAAGTGCAATGAAAAATGTTGTAGAATAGGTCTTCTGTATGGTCCAGACCACAGGTGAGCTCTGAACTGGTGCGAAATGACATTTTTGTCTCAATTCAGACAAAAATGTGCTCTTTTGATCATGAAAAAATTATTGAATAAATATGTACATATTTTTTGTGTTTATAATATTTGTCTTTATTTAACATTTGAAAAATCTGAAGACTATTTCTCTCAAAATTTATTTTTTGTTTCTTAAATGAAAGGGCAATTTTGCACTTGAGCAGTCCTTGGTCAAGTTGATTGGCATAGGAATACGTGCTAGTCCACTTGATTTCAGTACTTTTTTTTTTTTCAGTTCAGCAACCTCTGTCTGTTTCATATATCGATATATAGTTATCTTGTATATTTGTTGTAGATATACAAGCTGCATGTTGTAGCACATTAAGTTCAAAGAATAATTATATAAAATTTGTATTTTGTTTTTCATCGTTTGTTCTTTGAGAGAAGAGTGCATTTTTTGAAATCTTGTGGAATGTGTCCTTATATCGCCCTACTTTTGTGCCATTGCAAATACAAATGAGTTCATTCTTGTTTGAAAACAAGTGATAGGTATTACTTATGTATGTTGTTGGTCAGATGCAGTAGACAGGGATATATTAGCAACGTCAGGACCGCCTATTGATTTGCATGTCTCTGTGAAATTTACAAGTGAAATGACTGTGAGGCACTCCCAAGGTGTCCTTACATCAAATTTGTGTTCAGAATAAACTAATTTCTTTTATTTGAATTGTTGTGTACTTTCAATTGCACAAGGATAGTGCATAGGTGTGAAGCTGCTAGATTGTATATATAACTCTGGAGTAAAACTTGACCCTAACACGAATGTGTTAGTTCCCCCTCATATCATTTTTTTGAGGCTCGCTCCTGTATACTACTTGTGATTTACTATGAAACAAAACTGTTATTTAGTAATCCAGTACTTAAACACTTAATTTAATTCACTTGTGAGGGGTATTAATATACATTAAACTATTTTTGTTGTGGTGTATATATTTGTAGATTGGGTAAGATACATGTTATACATTAAAACCTGTGTGGAGATTTTAAGGCAAGTGTCTCTATAAAGGTAGTATTTGAGTTTGCAGTGTTTGTGTCTGAACTAAATTCTTGGATTGAGGCTGAATGTTTTCTTTGTTCATTTCAGGCGGCCAGAGCAATTACGGGAAGGCTCCAAAGCGTGGCGGGGGTGCCGGAGGAGGCCAGGGAGGCTATCACCCCTACAACAGGCAGTAAACATGGGCGTGTACGTGGAATTCTGACATGGCGACTTATGGTTATTTTGCTTCAACTACAGATTGTAAAATGCATCATGTTTGGTTCAGATTTGGTTAACTATATATTAACACTTTCAGTGTCCTGATACACCTGATGTTTTGGTCTTGGGCGTCATTTTTTCGTTCATTTTAAAATAGTTACAGATTCAAAGCCTGAAGAACGTGTAGTTTTGTATTTACCTTTTGGGATTTAAAATGTTAAGGATACTCTGTTGTATTTTGTACCTCTACTGCAATGTTTTCTCTTTCAGCTGTGGCCAGTATGTTGAATAAACCTCATGGTTGTGTAAGGGGACGGTAATGCCCAGCAGAGATTGAACGAACATTATAGATAGTTTTCTTATAGTAGAAACCGTTGTCATTGTAATGATAAAAGAATCATGCGACTTAGAAAACGGTACTGTACATAATTAGATTGGATTCTCCATGGAAATAGCAAAAAGAAAATGTCATTGACGGTTGCTAGAAAATGGCTTTAACACCGGTCGGATTCTGCATTTTGTTTTTAGAAAAATGGTTTTTTAAATTGGATCATTCCACTGAATGTTAAACATCAATTATGAAATGTGGCAGAAATTGTAAAGATAGTTGAATTTTCTTAATGTAAAATTTTATTATGTAACACCGAAGTGTATTAGGTAATAAAGTCACTGATTTTAGTTGAACTATTCGTCTGTTTCTTTCTGACAATTTAATTTTTATTTCTTATGTTAACACATGGAATTACCTATAGACATGAGTTTGAACAAGCCATAAGCTTTATATTAAACCAGTAACAGTATTAATGGGGGGAGGGGTCCTATTTAATCTAGATCAATGAAAACCTTGGAAAGGATCTTGTGCATAAGAGTGAGAGTCAATTAGCATAACCGTATATATATATATATATATATTAGCTTTATTCAAAATGTATAAGCATTCAGTCTTCTTTCGCTTAGTGTAGAAGCCATTCAAAACCCTTTTTTGAATGCACTGCGTGGGCCCGTTTCACAGAGGCTAACAGTTGGCTGCAGGAATTTTCACAAATCGTTTAAAAAGGCCGCCTGCTTTCATTTCTTATGCTATGTTCGTATACCAAAACAAAATGTGGCCCACTTGAGACGGGATTAAGCTATAGTAGCCTTCTAGAACGACGCAACTGAGAATACCAAGTATCGTTTCCTATCTAGTATATATAATAGTTTCTATAACACGTAGCTGTATTCTGATTATTTTCTAATTAACTGAATATAACACGTATAACACTTATACTCCACTCGTTGTTCGCCAGGGAAACAATCCTTCATTTTCATTAACTCTAAAGAAGGATAGGGTGCGATTGCTATGTACATACATAGAGATGCAACTTGACCGTGCCGACATCAGCTTTATGCTTTTTTTTTTGTTTGGGGGGGGGGGGGGTGAAATACTTTCGTTGCGTACGTCAAATCATACACTGCCATTCTTGTGCAATGTACGTAGCCGGCTCGGGTGACAGTGTACTATCTCACACTTAGAAATCAATAATAAGAGGTGACCCCACCCAAAGTCAATAACTGAATAATACAACATGAACTGTTGTTTTCCTCTTTATCATGATGGAAAAACTATTACAAGAGAGATGTCTGACGACGTCGACCGACATAGTGCTGACTTTATCTATTTCTGCCACCGTCGTAATATTTGTCTCTTATCCGAACTGTCCTAAACACATGAAATTACCGAAATTGGACTTCACCAAGTCGGCTATCCAATTTTAGCAGTTCGAGCGTTGCCAAATGATGTAGACCAGGTAAACTTTTCTGAAACAGGCCCCTGGGCACGAAATAATGTCGAGGATGAAGTATGGAGGTCTAGCCTATTTCCGTACATTTTGAGGCCAGTCGCAGGTCTTGGTGACCGGATTGAACACCAGACCCGGAGGACACTGCTGTGAGTACATAATCCCGTTGGCACAGCTGTAGTATTTGGTGGGGTCCTTCGGATCAGGGAACAACCCGTCTCCCGGGTACGACATTACACCTGTAACGATAGCAGAAATATGAAATTTGTTTTATTGAAGTTTTTTTTTTATAACAGTCACTTTAGATTTAAAAAAAGAATAGGCCTATGGTGCCAATATTTTATGGATATTTTTTTATTGGTAAAAAGGGATATGAAAGAAGTTTGAGGAGTTCTATCAGTTAGTGCAGTGGCAGAGACGCCAGACTTATCCTTAAGTGAAATTAAGAAATGTCTGTACAATGGTTGGATTTTCCTGTATCACCTGTCTCAGATTTGTCGTGTACATCTTCTGCTTTGGACTGAGAAGGTTTGGGTGGTACTTGTGCAGAATTTGAAACCGAAGGACTGGAAGGCTTCCCTGGGACGTCCGCTGGCTTTGGTGCAGTTGGTGCAACCTGCGTGTCAGAGGGACGAGCGTCTAATGAACCTCTCCCATCAAGACCGGACTTGAGAGCCCTTAACAAGGGGTAGGGTCCCATGGTGCCGAACTTTCCTTTGAAGTCATCCATGTCAATGCTCCAGACCATAACACCACCGAGGCCCTTGGACCGCGCGTACTCACCCTGTATGAGAAAGAAATAATGAAACGCTCATAATTAATGTAAAAATGCAAAGGTTAGGGAGCCCTCCTCACCTAAGTTCGAAAATATAGCTAGAACTTGGCAAACTACAGGAACTACTCAGACAAATTTTTTTCAATATTTTAAGAAAAATAAGGCTCATGTGCGCGTGCGCACAAACCTTATTTCCTAAAAATGAAAATCAAGAAGCTAACAATCGCCTTCAGATGTGCTGTAGAAATAACATCGCCATTCAAATGGGCTGCACCGAGTATAAGTTAACACGACACTTTAGAAGAACTGATTGGAGCAATTTCGTTTAACTTTCCTTCATCCTTAGACTCTCAGTATCGTCGTATCCTATCCATTGGTTGCCACAGATACTATATGGCACCTTGTGTTGGCAACTCCAATTTCGCTGGGCGGACTGCAGTTCACATATCTGGAGATTTTGTTATAAAAACGAAATGTTATGTAAATTAAAAAAGTTCAGCTAGGATATCAATTTAATGAGTGTCCCGGTCATTATTGAAGGATTCGCCTATATCATGTATATATATTATCGACGGTTTTATGTTACACTTGCATACCGAGCAATACTCTATCGAATTTCAAACTAGAGAAAAATAAGTAAGTTTTTAAAGCAACTATTTTTAACTGCTATTTTTAAACTGTATTCCTCGTGATACTTGTCTCTGAAGTACGAGCACATTTCACAAACTGAAATTTAAAATAGGCGAACATTCGAAAACAAACATTTAGACAATATTTGAAGAATTATAATTACAATTAAGAAAGATATTTTGAACAGTTCTCGAACCTCAAAATAAGCCAGCATACTGGGCTCTAATGTGTAAGGCCCCGGTGTCCCAGGACCTCTAATGGGTGCCCCCAAGCCATGGACTTCAGGGTTTCTCAGGGTGAAGGTGCGTCCGTAGAAGGCAACGCCCAGCACTATCTTGTCAGGAGGCATGCCTTGTTGAATCCAGTAGTTGACAGCAGCATCCTAGACGTCACGGCAGAGAAGGTAAGCAAAATGCGATTTTTAAAAATTTGATCAAACAAATCTGAGTAGGTATTCACCTTGTTTGAACAATGCTACTAGTATACCGGTACACTGGGTTGGTCAATAAATCACGTTAACAACGCTGGCGGATTCGGTTGTCTCCGCCTCTCCTTATCACCCCATTGCGCAGGATTAATTTAGATATTGAGCATTTTGGAGCAAATTGGATGGTGACTATAAGAAACATCTTTCCTGCCGGTCTGTTGGTTCCAGAGTGTTTGTTTTCTCCACTTTCTAAAAGGGGCGAAGGCTGGATATGCGATTTTGTATGAGGACCCCGCCCCCCTTTCTGGATCGGCCTACTGGTAGGGGTTAAATCTCGATGCATTATAAAGTGTATATAAATAAGCTTTTCCCCTTACTTGGTTGGCCGTCTTATGTGCCGGTGGTTCATCTTGCCTGTGGTAGAGGGCGCTGTGGTGCCCTGTGGTGTCCTCCCAGCTGCCGTGGAAGTCGTAAGCCATTAAATTAATAAAGTCCACCGACCTGGTACAAGATAAGAAAAAACAGCATTTCAGAAGATCGGGTTGAAACTTTTAATTAAAAAGTATTTTCATTGTATTTCAAAAGAAGTTTACTTAAAAATCATTCCAAAATTATCCATTATATTTACACAGTGAGATACTCAATGAAAGGCAGCTGTTTTTGTCTCTTTCAATGAAAGTTTTTTGTTAATTAAAGCGTTATTCTACTTTGCGATTGTTAGAACGTCATAGCCACTGTCAACAGCATACACCCCTGCAGCAACGGCAGCGGTCAACAGCAATCGGGGTTTCCCGCTTGTTTTAGCTTCCTCCTCAAACGCTGATCGAGTATCCTAACAAAAAGAATAAGCCATACTTTGAAAATTAAAATTTTATGTAAACTGTTATTGGATAGAAAGCTGTCATACTATTTCTTCAATTAAAAAAATTTAATAGTTACTAATCATAAAGTGAGACGTGCAATGTTTATATAATAACGTTTACTGTTGTACCCGAATGTGCTCGCCTCACCTGAATTAGTTCAGCAAAATGCCGCTTTGTCTCGGGAGGGGAGCCACGATCAGAATTTCCAGGATACTCCCAGTCATAGTCGAAGCCGTCAAATTTGATATCTCTCAAATATTTGATTGTGCTCTTGATGAATTGAGCTCTCGTCGCAGCAGACGACGCCATTTCGTTAAACATGGCGGTGCCGTGATTCCAACCACCAACTGCCAAGAGTAGTTTCAGGTTTGGATATTTGTCCTTTATGGAGACTAATTCTGAGAACATTTCTACAAAGCAAGCACATCTGTCTAAGTGGTGTGATTTCACTCGAAACACCCCCCTCCCCATACGCTGTGCATTTAATTTAGCAAGAAAGCAAGTTAATACATTAACACTACTAGTACTTTTACTACTATTGATAATCATAAAAAGTTTTGTATATGATACCCATATCACTCCACTGCGTGCCCTCTAGAATAAATCCCGACTCGTTTTTGTTGACCTTGGCAAATGAATAGATGATATGGGTGCACAGACTAGGGTCGATGTCGCCGGGGACAAATCTTGCCTCATCTTTTCTTAAATGAGCCCAGTTGGTAAAATATACCACCAGTTTTTTTGAGCTGGAAGATAGGCCTATACCTTGCATATTCCCTGGAATTAAACAATCGTTTTAAAATACGTACAGTTAGGGTCGCTGTACAAAAACAGACCCAGAATGATTGCGTGTTGGTTTCTAGCTGTCATGAATCTACGCCTTTTGTTTGTAAAAATATTTTCGTATGGCTTTTAGGCATGATACAAGTTTTTAAATTTAAAATGCTAGAAATGCATGTAATTTTTCATTTGGCTTAAAGGTTAAAATGATAGTGTTGGTCGGTGAGCACTTGAATGTACCAGGAAGAATCGTCATTTTCTCTTCGTCAAAATTTTACGATAGTTTTTTTTAAACTCCCAATATTCAAGTCTATTTTAAGGCAGACTGCATCTCTATTGAAGCAATATTTCAACTGATATTAAAGACTGTAAATAATTAAATTATTTATTTTTATCCTTCTGAAAAAGGCACATGTACAGTTGTTTTAATTCAGTGGACTTCTGCTGTTCGTTTCCCCATCTCAATCATAATTGCCTGATAGATGCAGCATTCCTAAAAGTACATAATTTTTTTTTTTGAAACGGGGTCCTGCGGTTACCTAAGTGATAGCATTCGTTTCCTTTAAAAGACGAAATAGGTTGTGTGGCAGTTAGCTAGTATTAGTTTGTCATTAGGGGAAATTACATGCAAGATTAAAACTCGCATTTTCTGTTTTATTTCAAGCACGCAAAGGTAGTGTCTGGGACATCAAGTAGACTACGGTTAATATTTCTGACTTCGAGTCAAACAACATCGATGAATCTTGTCTAATCGGCAGATTTAAGAGTATGATAGAGCTGCCGAAGAACGAAAAAATGAACAAACGTAAAATGTCGTGTGGGACAAACTAGAGATAATATAATAAGATAAGGAATTAAGAAAGACAAGAAAGATTCGGAGTTACCCTTTTCTGAATTCAATACAATGCTATATGCAGCGTTTTGTTAAAGGTTTTATGGGACAAAGTAGGTTAGTTGGTCTACGAAAATGTTCGCATTTTCAACCATTTTCCCATCACCAAAGACTTATCTCAACCACAGATCTCCCATTCCTTCCAAACACTTCATAAACACGTTTTTCCATGTCAGTTTTTTAAAATCATTTTATCTATCGTTTTGAGGTGACGGAAGACGTAATAAAATAATTTGATGCTATTTAATAGTGCACGTATGAAAATCGCTCTTTTCATCAGATGTTAATCTTTAGAAAACCAACACTTTTATAATATTAATTACAGATAAATCATCCGTCCTTTGTCAGCATGTGTTTACGTTCAAGTTAGTTGGCTAACTTCACTGCTCATGTGGCCATTTACTCATGCTCTGTCGAAAAACAAGTGAAAAAATACCTTGAGAATGGTACAGCTTAGCAATGTAATCTAGAATCACTACAAAGTAAACGCTGTGCTGTTCAATAATACTAAAGATAAGGTTACCTTTGAACGTGTAGTTTCACCACGCACCTTTCCTCAATCAGTCAAACTGGTCTCCTGAATTTGATTAGATTTTCATACGTGTAAAATTTCAAATTTTGTTTTATAAAAAGGATCTTACCAGACATATAGTGTTATGTACCTTACCAGTTAATGGCAAATGGTTTACGGTTATATCCTACGTTCTGTTGGTAACACGCTATACTGCAACCGCTTTGCTTGTTCAACTGTGCGACGCTTTGATTTCACCGTAAAACGTGATGCTCTTGCCAGTGCTACACGAAGATTAAATGGCGCGTAGAAATTCTTGGAGTCTTGGTTACGGTGAAGACACTTGAGTTTAATAACACGCGGTACACAGATTTATGCATGGATATTATATATATTGCTCCAACCCATTAGCTGTCACGATTATTGCCCACGCACTATGAACTATGATGAGGGGGAAGTAAACTTGGTAATCCATAAACTATATATCTTCAGTGAGAACGAAAGCAAGGTAACACCTGAATGCACGTAGCATAACGTCGTCATTTACGTTACAGGGTTAGGTTATCGTATTGGGGAGAAGGGGGGTTCTTGAGTTGGAGATCGTACGGTAAGAATTACCGCGGAGGAATTAGGAGTTTGGTATTGTTTTATAATTGATATTCATTCACCAGAAGTACTGTTAATGTACCTCGAGTCAATAAACTGTATACATGTCAGAGAAATATCAAAACTAGTTAACTGTGCTTCATCCCATATTTAAGGAAAAGAAACAATTATAGATATCACATACATGTTTTCAAAATTATTTTTATTAAAAAACTTTTTGTAAGATTGTTACAATACAAAAATAAATATATCAAAATTTATGGGAAAGTAAAATGGTAAAAATAAATTAACTTACATTAAAAATTATATTAAAGTCCACAGGAAAAAAAATGAAAAGCTTTGAGCTCATCTATGACAATGCTTACTGTTAAACTGACATCACACTAGCAATAAGTATTTAACACAGGTTATCTCAGTTTCAGACCCTGTTACTTTTTGGTCGGCCTGGGCGTGACCCTGAGTAGGATAATGCGGAGTCCATCATTCGTATATCCGTAGATGTCCGTAATAACCAATATTCAATCAATATTCCATCTATTCATATAACCTTTTTTTCATATACACGCAGCAATGTTCTATATATTCATTTAGTAAATCTTCTCCAATTTCTTAACTTTGGGAAACTTTGGGTGCATGACTTCGGCTTCTTCTTGCAATGAAAATCTACAGATGAGGTCTTGGGTATCAAAGACCAGGCCGTCCATACAGCATGTGCGGAATGGGTTACCATTGGCGCAGTTGTAGTAACATCCGTTGTCATCAGGGTCGGGGAAGATGCCATCGCTGGGACATATGAATGGATCTAAAAGTGGAAAAAGCATGATATATTAGGGTTTGAGCACAATGGTTTTAACTGACTGTGCCGGTCAACATGCATTAGACGTAACTGTTAAAAAAACCAAGCTTTTTCGCTAAGTTTTTAATTAGATATCCCCAGATAAAGAATGTTACCTATTTCTGTGGGGTTTCCATTGGCACAAGATGGGACGTTGTCTTCGTAGTCGCAGAGGTAAGTCTGTGGGTTGTAGAACATGCCTTTGGGGCAGATTTTGCTGAATGCTTTATTCATGGCGCAGTGATAGAACTTTCTACAATTTCTTGGATGTGGAAAATATCCGCTCTCTTCGGGACAAACGAATTCTGAAAAATCAAAGTTTTAATGTAAGTAAAATGTCTTGCCTATTTAAAAAAATTATAACAAATGGGTATCAAGATATAAAGCTATAACCAACCCATATCTGTCACAAGCAAAGGAACAAAACTTTCAGATATTCATAACAAGTCCTCGTTTTCGTTGAATGACTGAAAGTAAGAATTTTATGTATACAACTGAGAGTGTGCGTGCTTGCTTTGACAACACTTACTTCCACTTGCTGCTGTAGTTGGGGGCTGAGTAGGTGCCTTTGTTGGCGCTTGAGTTGGTGCAACGGTAGGTGCTTCAGTAGGTGCCTCAGTGGGTTTTTGAGTTGGAGCAATGGTAGGTGCCTGGGTTGGCGCTTTGGTTGGTGCAGCTGTAGGTGGTTTGGTAGGTGCTTGAGTTGGTGAAGCGGTAGGTGCCTGGGTGGGTTTTTGAGTTGGTGCAGCGGTAGGTGCTTGAGTTGGTACCTGGGTTGGTGCTTGAGTTGGTGCAGCGGTGGGTGCTTGAGTAGGTGCCTGGGTTGGCGCTTGAGTTGGTGCCTGAGTGGGTGCCTGGGTGGGTGCATCAGTGGGTGCAGGGGTACCAGGCTGGGGACTACATGCTTGAAGACCAGCGTTTATAGTTCTAAGGAGAGGATAATTCATCCCGTGTTTACAGAATTGGCCAGAGAAGTCGTCCATGTCTAAGGCCCACATATGGATTCCACCCAGCTGATTGGAACATACATAATCAGCCTATTCAAAAGAATACACTTCGTGTTTAGAGTTGCTGTGGGGGCAAGTGGTGTTCATTTTCTTTAAAGAATAAAAAATTGAATAGTATACCTTACTGAAAAAATCCTGAATATTTTTCGCTCTGATTTTAGTAAAATTTGTTGATAAATGCACTTTTGCCTTTATTTTTTACACACTGATGATCAACAATGAGCCTTGTAAATTGAAAAATAGATACTTACCTTAATTCTCATACTTGTCATGTCATCGTACCCCACCCACTGAAGAGAGACTGTGTCGAAGGCATATGGTACTTTGTGTTCATTGCTGAATACACTTGGCCAAGCTTTTTGACATACCTGGATATTGAAAAAATAAAAACGTTTTTCAGTTTTATTATGTAAATTTATATTGTATATGTCTAGGGTGACTAAGAAAAAAATTAAATTATGTTTTTGTTTACTGTTCTGAGTTTTAGATTAACCTGTAGGCTTTTATGGACTATATTTATTTAAAATTTAAAATTTAAATTGAAAAAGAACTAGTTGATATGAACTGTAAAATCATGTAAAGGAGTCTCACCTCGTAATAACCCAAAAATCCATTTTCTCTGGTAAATGGCCCTGGACTCCCTGCTCTAGAAGCGGGATCCCCCAAGTCATGTCTGTTGGCGTCCTGCATGGTGAAGGAGCGTCCGTATGAACCCACTCCCAGGAGGAGGTTAGCTGGGTCGTACCCTTGAGCGATCCAATACTCCACGGAAACATGCTAAAATAAGCACAAGATTCGTAAATTTTTACACTTTGTAAACAGCCGCGTGTAATTATATTTTACTGAGTGAAAAGGTCCTTGTACACAACCATTTCAAATCAATTCCTAAAGGATGCCACGGTCATATTTCTATATTTGTTGTCTATTTTTTTAATGACTATAGGTTTTTATATTTTCATTTAGTTTGATAATCATTTATTTATTTGCAAAATTTAAAATACATGTATATCTTACAGCGTTGAGTTGGTTCTGGGGGTAGTTTGTTTTCTCTAAAATTTCTCATGCAGTCGCTCGTTTCAATACCCTGTTTTCCTTTTCATTTTTGTTTATTCTTCATTTTCAGTTGTTTTTTTTTTTTTTTTTGTTTTTGTTT